GCTGTCGCTGTGGGATGGGGCTCGTCTTCGCGGGCCGTATCGACCTCGCCGTGCTGCATCTTCTGCTGCGCCAATCCTTCCCCCTCCTCTTCCTGCTGCATTTCCTCTTCCTCCCCGCCTTGCACCGTGCCTTTCTCTTCTTCTTGGTGCTCCATCTCCTCTCCCTCATGTGGTTGCACCATGCCCTCCGCCTCTTCTTCCTGTTCCATGTAATCTCCCACCTCAGCCTGGTGCTCCTTCTCCTCCTCCTCTCCTTCTTCCTCAACCTCCAATGCCTGATTGATCTGCTGTTGGTGCTCCCTGGCTTGTTTGAGACCTCTCTCGATCTCTCTCCGGGTCGGGATAGCTGCACGGCGGGCCTCCTCCTCCGTCGTACATTTGTTGACGAGTTCGTTCTCTCGGTCAACCATAGCCTTGGCACGGTTCGCATCCTCCTCATCTTCGTCCACCCTCGTTTCCAGCAACGTCTCGACATCCGTGTCTACCCGTGCGAACTCGACATCAGATTGCGGATTGTTCAGTGCAGTTTCCCTTAACCTGGGCTCCGTCGCTGCCGGGCGTGACTCTTCTCTGCGTTGTCGTCTGGTCCGCCTCCTTCCGACGTACGTTGTGCCTGGGACGGACGGCTTCGGTCGTAGCTCGAAATCGGAGTCATCGTCGTCATCCTCTTCGCTGCCACTCGAGTCCTCCGACAATCCGCACTTCCCCTTCCATAGCTCGTCATCCAAATCGCTGTCATCCGTGAACTCTTCGTCCTTGTCCTCGAGATTTTTTGGAACCCTTCCCTTCGGAGTCTTTGTGAGCCTCTGTTCCCTTACAAGCTCCTCCTCTGTCTTCTCAGCCTCATCCTCGGGCCCCTTCGACACCGATCCATCGTTCTCTTCAGGCTACGGGACGGGCTCGACGAAGTCACACCACAAGTCCACAAATCCGTTGTTCTTAATCTCTGGAACACGCAGTAGCTGCATGTTCCAATGTATGCACACTAGCTTCGCCAACCTTTCTGGCGACAACTTGTTCCTCCGTTTGGAATGGATGAAGTCCATGGAAGCCCAGTTCCTCTCCGTCGGTGATGCGGTGCTCCACATGCCCATAACCTTGATCGCAACCTTCTGCAATTCGGGCACGTCGCCACCGTGTGCTGCCCACCATTCTGACGGTGTCTTCTTATCAACATCTGCCTTTGCTGTGGGGTCCCACATCTTCGTGTCATTTATTTTCGGGCCGTTCCTTGTAGGTTTGGTGTGGAACTCATTCAGGTCACTCCAAATGTCAAAGTGTGCTTCCCCTTTCCATTCACCTCCAACCTGCCTCGAAAGAAAGCGCATGGTATTCTGCACAAGCGCACTGTCTTGGTCATGCAACCACCTCGGTTCTCTCCTGTGCGGGTCCAAAAGAAAGGCTGCTGCGTGGGCGGGCTGCCGCATCATCTTCATGTAATCTTTGACTTTCTTCATCACGCTCGTCGGCTGCTCCATTATAAGAACGACATGGCTAAACTTCCTCTCTATCATGTCGTCGTACTCGACAAGGTTTGTGGGACTGGTACCGTCCTGATCCATCCGCCTCAAGAGGCCGTACACGGGCTCCATCACCTCAACTACCTTGTTCAACCCCGTCCACCACTCATCACTCCTCAATGTCAAGTACACCAGATCCGATATGGCCCTCAACTTCGACGTGGACCATCGGATCGCATTCCATTTTACTGCATTCCGACCGTTGACCATGTCCTTCAACACCGCCCTCCTGTTGTATATCCTCTCCAACATTTGGTAGACTAACCCGAAGCGCACCTCCGTGGGCCGAAGAAGAGAGCGAATCGTCTACTGTCATCATCAGACTGTTTGTGTTGTGGTGATTTCTGGTGAACTTGACGATTGTGTGGCCCCTCTTAACGATGTGCTTCACCCAATCGAGTTTGCTGAGGTCGTGCAAGAGAAGGCTGCAGCAGTGCGCAACACAAGGAAGCCACGGAATCCTTGCTACCTCCTTGTCCGTTCGTCGCTCCAGGATCTGAGCCGCCCTTTTGTTGACCTCCATGTTGTCAGTGCAGATCGCATTGATTCGACGCAGTTCGATTTCCCTCATGATCTGCTCCCAAAGTTTCGCCAATGCAGGTCCGGTCTTCTTCCTCCCGGACATTGACACTGTCGCCACCAAAACCGCCCCATCCACCCCAGCTGCCAAAAAGTTCATCACGGGCTGCTCCCGGCGATCACTCGATCCGTCTGTGATGAAAGTACACCCGCTCACATCCCAACAAGTCGTCAACGGCTCCACCGTCTTCTACACTCGCATGTACACAATGTCCAACATGACGATCCTCATGTGGTTGAAGGAGGGCAGTTTCACCTGCGGTCTTGACTTTGCCACCTGCAGGTACACTTCATGGAGTTTCTGGGTGGTATCGAAGTTCAGGAAGTTGAATGGGATCCCAGCACGAAACATGGTCGCCGCCCATGCAATGTCCAATTTCTTTTGCGCATCATTGTCCACCCACCTCCTTGTTGTTGACTGCTGCAATGAGGACAACCGTGTGTTCAACCCCAACGCCTCACCCCTTGCCGCCTCCAAAGCGTTCTCCTTGTGCAAATCCCCCGCTTCACATGGTGGAGCAGCCCTGCCCGCAGAGGGCGGTGGCTGTGGCTCAAGGTATGCGGGAACTTCAACCACCTCGTCGGCCTTCTCCGTCTGATCGACCCCCTCTTTCGGAATCCCGTGCAGCTGCCTGTAATTCTTTAGCAAGTACTGCATATTCTTATCACCCGACAACACTTCCCCCCGGAGTTGACGAGCTCATTCACCATTTCCTCTGTGCGCGATGGACACAACTTCTGCGTCTTCAGGTAATGTTCCACTGCTCTTGAGCTCGTGCCCCTCCAAATCTGCATGCACCACCTCACCCAATTCTCGCCTCTCCCTTTCTCCCCGGCTTCCTGACCCTGTTCTGCGTACTTCCACACATGCTTCTCCCTCTGCAACTTGTCCTGCCGCGCCTTGTCTTGTGGAACGAACAGCGAAGGGTCCATTGTCGGCGTGGGGTCTTTGGAGGTCACTGTGGATGTGGGTGTAGCGGAGGTGTTTGCAACTTTTTCTTTTCCTTTTTCTACCGCCGTTTTGCCCTTCCTCCGTCCACACCCGCCACTCTCCCCTCCAATGTTGCTGGCACCGCCCGCCAAAGTGTCGTGGAAGTAGAGGATGCAAGGACAACCAGCGAGGGAAAAACCAAGTTCAAATATCGGAAGAAGAAGAAGAAGAAGAAGAAGAAGAAGAAGAAGTAGAAGAAGAAGAAGAAGAAGAAGAAGAAGAAGTAGAAGAAGAAGAAGAAGAAGAAGAAGAAGAAGAAGACTTAGGGAGGAGGAGGAGGGAGGAGGAGGAGAAGGTGGCGAGAAGAAGACGAAGGGAGGGGGAGGAGAAGGAGGAGAGAAGAAGACGACGGGAGGGGGAGGAGAAGGAGGAG